CACGGGCACGGGAACAAGAACTCATCTATATAATTTGCCGGCATATATTTATGATTTATTAAGTGTGTGCGTAGGCGGTGTGTGGGTGTGTGGGTGTGTGTGTGTGTGTGCGCGTGTGCTTGTGTGTGCGTGTCTAAAACTACAAATAGTGCTTAGGGAACAATAGAAAAATGGATGGCCATTGAGAGCGAGCTCAATGCCCAGCACGCGAATCGTTTCGTCGCTTAATAGACAGTTACAGATACAGATACATTTGTGTGTGCTGGTGTATAAAACACGCACCCAGCAGCAACAGCAACAACAGCAGCAACAGCAACAACAACAACAACCACGACAACAACAACAATCAAATTGGATAATGTCTATAAAAACTAATTGAATTCTAAGCGCTCAGCACGCTATTCGCATTCTTCAACCAACAGCTGTGAGAAAGTAATGTAGAAAGTAAGAAAAAAAGCGAAAAAAAACCGAGGAAAAAAGCAATAGAATTTTCCCCCAAATAACTATAATAAAAAACTCGTCTCAAGTGATGACATGCAAGCTGTTGTGTGTGTAGTGTGTGTGGGCAGCAGTTGTTGTGCATTGTATGTAATGTAAAATAAAAAAAAAAAACGACACAAAAAAATAGAAACAAAAACCAATTTCACACACAAATGTACGACGAGTACCAAATAGAGAATACACTGAGAAACAAAAAGCTCATTACTCATATGCCAATCAAGGGTACCCAGTCCGAGTCCGAGTCCGAGTCCGACTCCGTGTCCGAGTTGAAAACCAAACCCAAAACCGGGAAACACAAGTTGACCCCAGAGATGTTGCCGATGCTTTGGCGTTGGCATAATTAATCATTCACTTATAATTAACAGCACAGTGCGTCTACGTAGAACAACTTGCTAATGTTAATGTATCTGCCAGATAGACAACTGCGCCAAGCAAAAACTCAAACAACAATGCGTATGAAACTCGCACACATCATGCCGCGGCCATGCAAAAGTTCAAAATGCTTACCACCAAATGGTTTTTCTCTACTTCCTTGTTTTTTTTTTATTACATATATTTTTGGTTTGCTCTCAGCAGGAGCATATTCACTTGGCCGTTGGGCATGATAGTTTTTTTTTCTTTTTTTTAGAAATATAAGCTGAGAACTTTCTACTCCGACTTCATTATGAAGTTTGAACCCGCAACTTCACTTTTTGTCTTGCCGTAAGCCGAACAATGCAACGGATAAATCCAACAAAAAAGAAGAAGTTGGTTCAAACCAAGTTTTTTTTTAATACACATTGATGCAACAACAGTACGCTGAATGAACTAAAAATTTTCGACTAAAAAAAAATGCATTACAATAACAAGATTATTCAATTAAAGGTTGGCAAAAAATGTTTGTGGAAAAGCACGCAAAATTTAAATTCATTTGTTGAAAACGTAAACTGAACTCCGCACAATATGTTTTTTAACGTGTTTTCAGTCAGGAGGTATGCATGCAAAACAACTGAATAATTTTGTATGGAACACATATCGAAATAAATAAATAAGTTTGTTTATGTACAATGTTAATGATAAACCATATCTCAAAAAATATATAAAAGATGTCACAAATTCCATAATAGAAACATTTGACAAGTTTTCTTTAGCAAACAAAGAGCATCGGCGCTTCGTTGTGTTGTTATATGCTTTTATTTAAACTCTTGTTTTAGTTTGTGCAGCGTAACCACTTGAAAATTGGATGGACAGCTGGTCATATGGATATTGAATAGATACGCAGCCCAACCCAAACCCAACCAGGGCCAGCTAGCCAGCCAGCCAGGCATACCGTCAGTCAGTCAGTCAGTCAGTCAGTTGAGGTTGAGTGATGTACTACGATGGAGCGCAACGCATCGCAGCGACACGCAGACATCGACATCGATGGTCATTAGCGAAAGATGACGACGATGGAGATGGTGAGGCGATGGCAATGGGTGATGTTGCGTACTCGTAATTCTTCTATAATGGATCTGTTATCTCTCTGCGCTTAATGGGTTAGGTTAGAGCCAAAGGGGCAAAAGCTCTTTTCGTCTGAACAGTGGGCGGGGAGGGGGGGAGGCGCGCTTGGCATTTGCTGCGAGGCAAAGATGACTGACAGCTCTTGTTGGCTTCGTTACCCTGGTTGGTCGGTTGGTTGCCTCTGCCGGAGCATACTTAAAATTTGAAATTAAATAATTAGTTGTTGGCTAAGTTTTTTTTCTCTCCAGCTCGTTCGCCAGTCGCCTGGCCTGTGTGTAGTGTAATGACCTTTTAAGTACTTTTAAGATACTAATCGCCTGATTCTCTAGCTAATGGCTTGTTGTGGCTTGTTTTTGGGGCTCGTACTTTTGTTTCTGTAGTTGAAACGGGAGTGCAACAAAGTCGCCACTTGGATGGCACTAATTAACGTCAGAGCGTTGCTTTAGGGCCACAGAGCGTTAAAGCCCATTTTCGTAAAGTTTCTCTGATGCGTATTAATTAAAATTTTGATAAGCGCCAGCCTCCGTCGCCGCGCTTACAGCCCGCTCCAATAAAACTTGAAAATAAATTACACGAATTTGTATTTTATTTTTGTTGTTTTTTGTTTTCATTTTTTTTTTTATAATGTTGTTGTTGTGCCTCGCTTTTTAGCCTCCTCTTCTAGGTGTGGCGCTATTGTCGGGCGCGGCGGCATGGCTTATCGCAAAGTATCTACAAATAATGGACGACTAATAGGCATCTGCCCCCAACACCCTCCGGCCAGATCGCAGCTTGTGGCTCTCGACTATTATGTCAGCCTTTAAAACGGGCGCTTGCCATCGCGGCCATTTAGCAGCTGCTTGTTTTAAGCTGTGGGTGAAAGTGGCGCTCGTGGAATGTCTAGAACGGTTAGGCTTTGAGATATTGGGTTTCGAAACATAGGCAAACCTAAAAAAGCTGACTAAAATCTTGGAGAAAATCGTGGGAAGTATAAGTATTAAGTACTGTTAGTAAGCCGAACCTATGTAAACATCTTAATGCAGCTGGAGTTAGGAATTAGGAATTTTATGTAACTAAAAATAAAACTATTAAAAGGATTTAAGCTTGAAATTATTTGTGTATCAAAGCATTAAAAAACTATGCAAATTCCCTCAACCGTTGTGTAATTTTAAATTTAATTTCATTGCTAAAAGTATAGCCAAAGAAACTATTTTCACAAAATGTTGTAAATGCCTTTCACAGAAAAAAAGTCAATCAAACAATTTGTACAAATAAAATGATTATTATTATTATAGTGAAGGCTTTTTGCCTTATCCATTCTTGCATATTGAACAAAGACATAATAAAATATCATCAATTCCCACACCAAGAACAGAAAATTCATCAACTTTAATTATTTGCAAATATTTAAGCCATGTCATGGCATGCAAATGTGATGAAATACCAGCAAATGTTCTCAGCGCATAATTACCACACATTGTTAAATGGGAACTATGCCAATGCCTCCTTTTTCGGGTGCATAGTTATTTGTGCTACAGCACTTCTGCCGTTTGCCCTTAGGCTGACAGCGCGACTCGGCCTAAAATTTAAAATACTTTGGGTTTTGCCTGTTTAAAGCCAACTGAACAATTATACGAATTCTCTTGTGAATACATGCATAGCTATTCTGTGTGGTTTACTTGGAAATGCAAAATTGAAATGAAAATATGAAATGCCAGAAATGCCGGCGCCGTTTGCCAATCGAAATTTATTTGTATACCCTGTGTAGCCGTCAAATGAGTATATAGAGTCGGATAGGCTTGAGATTTCTTAACACAAGCGTGTTAATATGTTCTGCACAGTCCAAGCCGGTGGCCCATTTGAGCAGAGTAATTAACTAAATTAGACAGACTCTCAATGTTACCTATGCTTCAGGTAGAGGGTATTTATTGGGTGAGCATCGCGGAATCGATATTTCTGCATTTGTTGTTTATGTCTAGTATTTAAATATTTAAATTGCTTTTCACAAAATTAGCCAATTAACGCGAGTACGAATTTTGCAATGCGTTAAACTGTTGTGCAATAAATATTGAATATTGATTTCATAATTCAACAATTGCATGCAATTACGAATTGTACGCTAGACAATTGTAAGCTTTTCGCACACGCACACACACACACAGGCACACACACACACAGATGGACAGCGAAGTTGCCCCGAGCTTGAGCAAACAATTGATATGGCTTTGATTCCGGGGCTTTTACTTACACTTCAACACTTAATTATTATATTAATAGGCATATCTATTTTAGCTCTAATTAACCTTTGACACATCGTGTGGGCTTCATGCATAGCATTTTGACAAATCAGCAGACACTCGCACAAAAGCAACAAAGGTGATAGTTAAATAGGGGCCGGCAGGTAACTACAGCGGGGCATGTTATCCAAAAAGGCCGTCAGACAGACAGCCCAAACGGGCCAGACAGACCGTCAGACAGTCACGACTCGTTATGCGGATTGTGTGTGTGTGCGCGTGTGTGTGTGTGTGTACAATTTGAAGCGACTCGCAATTACCAACGACACGTCAAGATGTGAAATTAACACCGTCACACAAAACCCAAAGACTGACAGACGAACAGACGCAGCGAGTGGGCGGTAGGTGGGCATGCAGACATATTAATGTATCTGGTATTTAACATTCAGCAACAATCACATTGTGTGCGCGCCTGTTTGTGTGTGTGTCCGTCTGGGCGTGTGTGTGTAGTTGACGTTGTTGCCTCGCAAATCATTAAATCACACAGACACAAGGAAAATGCAAAAGAAAAAAAGCGCCTGCCCCAAGTTGCTGTTTGTGTCAGCGACACAATTGGCCGCCCACCCGCCGCTTGCCACCCACGTAGGGCGCCACACGCATATCCTGCCAGGCAGCAAACAGCAGACACACACACACAGAGACCAAACACACGCACAGATATACAAAGGAGAGAGCTACGCAACCACAACACGCAATACTCGCATTTCATTAGACACTTTGCAGTGACGACTCCTATTACTCTTGCAGGGCGCCACAGGAGCAGGAGCGGGAACGGGATGGAGGAGGGGCAACAATAGCTATGCCAAGTGACGTCGCTGTTGTAGCCGAAGGCGTTACCCAAAAGCAAAAAAAAAAAACAGAAATGAGTGTCCAAGTCGAGCTTGCCAGACTGTGCCGTGCCCTGTACGCAGCTCGCCATTGAAGTGAGATTCATTCGAATAGGGGAAAAATCTAACTATTAAGGAAAATATTATCATTCTGTACTATATGTTTGGCAACAAACCAATTTTGATATTTCTAGCTTTTTGAATGCACGATCGGTGTAAAAGAAACGAAAAAACTGAAGCATAGAAGCAGGAGTTCGGCTGGAGTCATTCTTAATTCAAAATTTATATGTAGCTCTTTTAGTCTCTCAGATAATGTTGATAGGACTTGAGCATATCGGTAAATTTTTTATGGGCCCAGAGATGCCCTCCTCTGCCCGTTATATATATTTTCTCAACTGCAGTATATCCCCTATTTAATCCTTGCTAATAGGAACAGAGCTTACAGAAGAAAGAGTAAGTTAAACTTACACGTATTACAATTGTTCTTCGAGCCTAGCGCAAGACGACTTAGTTCAGGGACGGATTTCAATTGATAATGGTTTAGGCCCATACAAATGCTCGTATATTCGATTCTGCCTGGCAACTAGCCACAAAATAGTGTGACTAAAAAAGCAATTAAATTTTTAAGTTATCATTATGAAGTTCTTTTAATTCATGCCACGCAAACGCACGCATGCCCACCTTTTTTTCACAGTAAATGACACGCCCTAAGCCAAGGAAATATTCAAGGATTATCGACTTTGTTAACTACAACTGCTTATTAACGAACTAATAGGGAAATTCGTCTGTACTAAATGAAAGCTTGAAGATACTTTAAAAATGTACAAATGAAATACAGAAGCAATCCGGATAGTTGTATATGTTATCAGGCTCAGCTATGATACAAAGCTGTGGCAACCGGAATTTAGTTGGCAGATTAATTAATTAATTAAATATACATTTAAAATATTTTAAATATTTCTTGCCGGTATATTATAAAGCTGCCATAGAAACGATTGGTCGACTTGTAGGTTCCTCTAAGGCAAAATATTCTGTTTTCAAAGATATTTTCGGGAAACTCAGTATTAACGAGCTTCTTTATGCTGAAATAACTGCAACCCCGAAGGTCGAATGGGTACAAGGGTATTAGATCTTCGGCGTGTCCAAGATACCCTCACTTTGTTCTTCTAATTTACATACAAAAGATGCACAAATAAGCTGGATGGCGCACCATCGGACAACTCACTCTATTTTACCTAGCAAGGGATTACAATTTAATAATTTTTCAAATTTTGACAAAAAAGTGAAGCAGCGCAGAACTAATTATGATTATAATTAATCTCTATGCTAAACTAGATAGCTTCAGATCTAGCTTAATATATTTTGATTGGATTACTGGGTACTGTACGATCACCTTATTATTTGCCATTCTAGTGCTTACTGGCCATGTTAAGCCCAGTTGGAGGACACACGCATAAAGCAGAGAGCTGAAAAACGCGAGCACATTCAAATAAAAAGCCGTTAAGTCCTTACAAATGAGCCTGTCATTATTCATATGGCGCGCCGTCAAAGGACTTGCCCAGCTGAGACTTTGCACATATTTTGCGCGCCTTTTCAACGGAACTTGGCTCGTGTCCTGGGTCCTTTTTGCTGGCGCTGCTGCCACCCAACAAATTAATTACTAACCAAGTTGAGTGGTAAAATGCTTTTCTTGTTTAGCTAACAATTTTTTGTGTTTTTTTTTTTGTTTCGCTTTTTGCTGCGTATATTTATTTTTTAATATTATTTATCAAAATGTTTGCTTGAAGACTTGAAAATAAATTGCATGAGATTAGGGCGACAACTTTTCATTTAGCTGGCTGCCTTAATTTCCGGCCGCACGCATTGGAAAATGAAAATGTAACCCGAACCGAAATGAAAAATGGTTGACCGGGACGAGAGTGAGTTTTTCTTTTTGTTATCTTATTGTGTTATCACTCACCTGAAAATATGTTTGACCCTTGTCCACCCAACCGATGGCCATATCCGCGCCAGCTAGATTCCCATCGGGCGAGAATCCAAAGCCGACATAACCTAATGTACGTGCTTGTATTTCAAATGTTATATCCTGATTAATGATTTGCCATAGTATGCGAAAATCCTCATTCAAATCGATGGCATGATCCCAAACGGGCGTCGCCTCCGATGCTGCTGCTGCTGCTGTCGTGTTGTTGCTGCGAGTGGTCAACTTGCTGGCCGCCTGCGCGGTGGCAAGCAGCAAGAGGAACAACAAGAGCGAGCTGAACGTGTGGCAGGATATAAAACATGTGATTAACGATGACCGCCTTGAACTTGAATGCGTGCCAACTTGTGTTGCTTTTGTGGAGCACTGTGTTGCTGTCGTCTGTGTTGTTGCCGCTTTTCCTGTTGTCTGCCTCATTTTGTGCGCCATTTTGTGCGGAGTTTTGTTGGCTGCTTGGCTTTAGTAAATTGTTGGTGCTGCTGCTGCTGCCAGCGATTGCGCGTACGACATTTATTAGTTTGAAAATCACTGAAACGTAATTACGCGCGGCAGCAACTGTTTAGCTTTTGTATCTGTATCTGTATCTGTATCTGTTGCTGCTTGTTGTATATCTTTAGCCTTGCCGCTTGCCGCTTCTGCTTTCTTTGGTGCTATCACAGTTACGATTATTTAGTAATGATAATAATGGCCACGCAGTTTTACTTTCATTCCAAGCTACTGCTGCTACTGTTGCTGCTGCTTCCTGTTTCCGATTTGTTGCTGCTCATTAGTTGCGCTTGTCACACAAACAGACGCATACATACAAACGCACACACACACACGAACAGAGCAGCTGGAGTCTGGCGGATGTGGACGACCCTCTGTAAATAGACGACAAGTGAAGGAAAGAAAAATTTTATAATTGCTATAATTTGATGTCGAGCTATAATAGCACAAAAGACGCTGCTCACAGTTAGCTTTCGTGCTGCAATGTTTAAATGCATATAATTACATAAATTATGAACCGGTATCTATAAGATTCTACAACATAGTTGACGTCTCCAGCAACCGGGACTACAACTTTTGAACGCACCACACGGCAGTTCGTCAACATATTCCGAAGCTTTAATTAAACTGGTCACGCAGTTTCCCAAGAACACGGCCCGAGCTGACTGACGGAGCACAGAGTCACTCATGTAGGGAAACTAATGGTTAACCAGGCGACAAGCAGAGGAAATTGAAAAAACAAGGGCGGAACTTTACAAGCAAAATTAAAGTGCAAAAAAGAAAACTACATAGATGTGCAACATATAATTCTCATATTATTTAGTTCATATACTGTACTGTAGAATATACTTCTACGATAAACTATCTGAATTGAAGAGTGAAAAGCGAAGTGATGAATTCAAGTATAAAATAAAGAATTTCGAACAAGTTTTTATTCTAAAATTTTTTTTGTATTTTATTACAGCTAACTCTGCCTTCATCAATGAACACATCTTTTAGATCTTCCGCCCGACAATCCTCAGAAATTACTCATAAATTCAGTTCGCACCGCTGTAAATAAGCGTTTTGAGTCATTCGAAAAGTGCGCCGCTTTGTAAAACCAAATGACTAACATGGCCGCAACTCAGTCACATCTATGTCGGCGCTGACGAATTTTGATCAAGAGAACAAAAAAGCAAACCAGTTTGTTGGATTCACTTGAGCGACACTTGAAGTGTACACGTCAATTATGTGGAGCTCGAGTATCATTTTGCCCTGTCTCACACGCAATTAATGCGTTGCTCAAAGCAAATCGAAGATAATTACGGCTTGTCATAGTTTTAATGAAGAAGGTCGCGCAACCGAGCTCGCGTCGGGCCTACGCCCAGAACCTGGGCCTTTGCAGTCCGATATATTGTATTAAATAGCGGTGGCTAACCCAACAACCGCCAGACCCACCGTCTGTCGGTGGATATTGGGCGCATATTTGGCGTGCGGTTACATTTGATAACATGCCAAAAGTCCGCGGTGGACTCTGGCAACGCCTCCAGTTTCAACTCCCCCTCGACAAAAACCCACACACACAGACACAGACACACATTTAAATCTTTAATGCGATGCCAGCGTCGTTGTCGACAGCGTTTGGTTAAATGTCAAACACGCGGCAATTTGTTATAAATAGCGCACTTCCGGCCTTATAGATACACAACAGCCGGCTACAATTTGAAGTACTTTATACGACTGTATTTGCACCAATTTTAAGCGCTTAGTCGCGTGTTCAAGTTGACAAAGGTCAACAAACGTAAGCGAGCAAACAACACACAGAAATGAGAAAAACGAGCCAAGAAGTTAAAGCGAAAAAGCTAATCTAACAACAAGTCGAAAATTTGATGCCCTTAAGGCAATTAGGCCGTTGTGGGGAGGATTTCCAAAAATGAGAATCTACTTGATGTTTGCGTATAAAATAAATGAATATATTACCTAACGTTTACCTTTGCTTATAACAATTTCCCATTTACCTGTACTAATATTGTGCTTCTGGTCTTATACACGTTTGCAATTTCTTAAGGCTTTTTTAACAATTTATCTACATTTAAAACCGTTTGTCCTGATTGATTGACTGATTGAATTGTGATCAATGCCCAGCCTACCAGTTACACCTAAGTTGCTGAAATATTTACTATAGTTAGCTGAAGATGCATAATAAGATGAAGCTTGGGGTATTTCACCCGCAAATGTGGAAAAATCGCGGAAAATGGTTGCGAGAAACTTTTATGCTTAACAACCGATCGACGTCAAACTCATTTTCAAAGATCTTTGTTTAAATTGTTCGTGTTCAATCCCACCTTGCTGGCAAAAGCGGTCAAAGTTTTGGTAGGTTAAGTTCAAAGACTTTCTCCAGCAAGTACGGGTGGATTTAAAATTATCCACAAGCGGAAGATGTGTGGAATAATTGAGTCTAAAATAAGGCCAGTAAGGGATAATAAATAAATAAATATATAAAGAAACAGCTCCACTTGACATATCCCGATTCTAGTCGTAAGTATTCATGTGGTTTCTACATTTCGCCAAGCTTAAATGAGTCTCCATAAATTGTTAAGTCTCGAGTTAAAGTGTTTTTATGATAAACTCATTTTAATACAGTTAAATATCTGCATTTAGTGTTTTCTATAGTGCTGTTATATGTTCGTACTTCCATTCCATTCCATTTCTAAACTAATGACAAAGTTATTATGCCCTCTGTTATCAAAAATGTATCCAAAAGATACACAACAATAAGCTTGATGGGGCACTCTGGGTTTACAAGTTGTTGGTGTTGTTGTTGTTGTTGTTGTTGCGGCTGTTGTAAATGTTGTAGATGGCGCTGAGTGACGGCCGGCAACGTTAAATGACGTTGATTATAATTATGCGGACTTGTACTTTGTACAGAGCTGTCTGATGGGCCACAGGGCTGCCTTGCAGCCTGACTCTGACTACCCATTGTTGTTGTTGTTGTTGTTTGTTATTATTATTGCTGTCGTCATCATCATTATTATGAACATCATCATCGTCATCATCGTCATCCGTATAACATCCAGAACATCGTCATCGTCAGGCGTCTGTCGTCATTGGCATTGTGCAGCCGGCGCTGCTGCCGCTGTTGCTGCTGTTGATGGGCGGGCAGATGAATGATGTCGCTTAAATACAGACCGAGGCCGAGGCCGAGGCGAGGCCAATCGTCGATTGTCGTTCCCGTGCTGCTGCTGCTGACAACAACAACAGCAACAGCAGCCGTAAAATTCAAGCCAATTTAGCCTGAGGGGCTGGTCCGGCAGGTTCTTCTGGCCATAATCGGGAGTCGGAGTCGGAGTGGGACTCAAACTGGAACTGGGACTGCACAGCATGTTGCTCAGACGACATTCATAAGTACGAGTATAATATTATTACTTGGCGAATTAACTACACTTTTTTGTTGCTGTTGCTGTTGTTGTTGTTTGTTTCTTTCATTTTCTTATTTTCGCCAAAGAAAACAAACCAAAAGACATGGCCTGGAAACTGGTTACAAGTCGCCTGACTGACTCTTTGCACTGACTCACAGCTAAAAGGCACGAAATGGCTTCCGTAGACACACATTAGTCGCTTTTACACAAAACGTAGCTGTCCGTCCCGACAGACGCACGGACAATGTTGGGGCAGGCAAAAAGATGCACTGAATGGGCATGAAAGCGTTCCAAGCGGCACAAAAAGCAGTTAAAAAAGACGAAAAAAAATGGGAAAAAAAAGAAATACAGAAGCTGCGGCGCAAGTAATAACAAAAACTGAATACAAGTCAAAGACTTTGTCCATGGCTTTCATCATTGCACGATTTGTAGGAAACGTCGGCACTGGAAAAAAAGAGCTGCCGGTGCATTGGCTGGACAAGTGGACAAGTGGACTCTGGGTCTGGCTCTGGCTCTGGCTCTGACTGGTTCTTCTGACTCTCTCGAACTGTCTCTGGGTTTGACTGCGGGCAATGCCAACGACGACAACGACGACAACAACGACAACGACATTGATGAGGATGTTTTCTGTGCTGCACAGTGGACCGAATCAATATATCAAATAAATAAAATGAATAATGATTATGTATGGCATTAACTACTTTTCTGAGTTACTTAATGTGAAGACCCTTCATTCATCAGCAAACTAATCACACAATTCCTAAATTGTTTTCTATGCTTAGCTGTTTCACCTTCACACTTTGATCTACGAAATCCCAATATTCACATGCCTTTCACATTTATTCAGAGGGAACCTCAAAGCCCCATGAAAACATGTATCTTATATTCGCAAATGCCAATCCCAACTACTAATTAGCCGTGCCCATTTCTTTAATGGCCTTTCAGCTGGTTATACCCTGCCACAATTAAACTGTCGAAACAGGGCTTGCCACAGCTAAAGTAGACTCTCGAATAGCCTAAGCAGTTAGTTGAATTACAGAGTATCTCCTTGGCTAAGCTCTCGGGAAGAGCAGGATTTCTTGTGCCATCCCACTGTGCGTTAGGCAATCTCTTGTGCTTAGCCTTGCAGCTCTTGGAGCCACCAACTCAATAGTTGGGCCCGTGCAATCTGCGACCGCAATGTATGTTTTCATTTAGCAGCTACAAGCAGCAGCCGACCAAGTGCAAGAGCTACCGGGCTGAGGAGCAACAGCTTCAGCTCCAGCATCAGCATCGAATCGTTTCGGTTTTGCCCACTTGAAGATGCTTCATCATGCGCCATGTAATGCGTATTTGCGACGAGCAGCACGGAGCTGGAGGTCTTGCGGCTTGCTGCTTGATTATAAATGTAAAGGCAGCGTGTATGACATGTAAGTTGTGTGTAGCTGCAGCTATAAATGTGAGTGTGTGTATCTGTGTGCTGTGCAGCACGAGAGAACCCAGTTGAATCGTGGGCTACGAAAGAATGATATTTTCTGTAAGGAACATGGACTTTTTTTGAATTAATAATAAATAACAAATGTTACTTTTGCTGTACATCGTATATTTATATACTTATAAAGCGAAAAAAGAAGCAGAATTATTATTGCTAAATTTCATATGTCATGCGAAACCTGCAACTGTGGGAAGTACTTGGGCATGCTTAAGGCAAAAGTCCCACTGGGTCATAATTGCGAATTGCTTGTGCATTGCCTGTGTGTGCACGTATGTGTGTGTGTGTGTGTGTGTGTGTGTCTGTGTGGTTGTCACTGCACCTGTCATCCTGTGGCAATGCCACGGAAAAAAAAGAAGAAATAAATTGCCCAAGCAGCAAGAAAATTATTATTTATCGGCGTTGGATGCGGCCAAGGTAGAAGTTGAAGTTGAAGCTGACTCGTCTTCGACTCCGCCTCAGTTTTTTACGCATACATACATACGTATGTTTGTATGTAAAAATA